AACGCGTGGCCACATGTATGCTTGATAGCTTGAACAGGCTGCTGCTTATTATATGCGCCGTAGTTTCACACTATGTGGAGTGCTATATCCAGCCAGGCTGCAGTAGGCTAATATGCCCTACAAATTTCAGCCCTCTGCAGAGTACGTAGCACTTGGGCTCGTGTGTTTGACGTTGTCCAGTCAGAGACAGTCCGACGAATCAACGCACGATCTAAAGCACAGCCAGTACAAACCTAAAAGTAGCCATTTTCTTTACTAACAGGGGAAAACTCCATGTCAGCTTTTCGGCTTCCATTGTGAATGCTTTTACTACCCAACAAGCGTAACAGCGTACCCTATGCAATTCATTCCGAACGACCCCTGCACATCTCTCACCCACCTCACATATATGCGAATAGCAGGCTGGGCGAGCTAAACAAGCACTGCAGTCTACCTGCCCACAATGTGCTAATGCTAGGTAGTCACACCTGACGAAGGTCATCCACAAAATAATTCGTACACATTTCCCATCTGCTACAACTGCTGCTGAGTGCATCTGCACTGCCCTGAGCGATATGCAGGCACTGTCATGAGTTGCCACCTACACCGGTCGGACCACACCATGTCCGTTTTGTGCGATCATGCTACACAAAAAGCATGTCATGTCACAGCTATTGCTGCCTTCCGCATGCGTGCTGTCTCTAGCCTTGCGTATAGCCTTCTGCACCAAACGCACCACACCATATTCTGCTGGACCCAAGAAAAGACGGGAGCAACCCCACTCCCGTTTAAGATGTGCGCACCTGTAGTAAACTCTAGGTAGCGGTGCAACAGTTTGCCAATTCAATAGCTAGCCACAGCACGGGTTTTGCTTGGTCCTCACATTGTCTCACTGGGCAGCGGCCGCCCCCAGGGGCCATTCTTAAACACACAAATAAAACACATTTCAGGTGCTGTGCGCAACCCTTAGTACTGCTGCACCTTGAAAAAAGTGCTACTGATCACAGTGCAGCAGGGAAGCTAGGCGCTAGCGTAAGCCTATGCGTGTGAGTATCAAGGATTGGCACTTTCAACACTGGACAAAAGACACTTTCTTGCCATATTATACCACATTCTCTTGTGATATCACACTACCTCTCGGTCGCGCAAGATGAACTAGATAACACAGGACCAATTTTTACCTAACCGCCGTACGGAGAGATGCCACAGTACACAGAAAAGGAACCCGGGATGTAAAGTACGCAACCAACTTTCCAGCTCGTTGCATTAATCGTGGTGTAGTCCGAGTTGTATAGATGGTAACCTTTTTTCAATGCCAATATACTGCTCCGGCAGCGCAGATTTTCTGAGCAGCAGTTTTGGAAGCTGAGAAATGTATGAGCAGTGTTATGTGAGTGATCACAATCAGGAATAGGTGTCTAGCACAGCACATAAAAGGCTAAAACAAGTTTACCAGTTCCCGAGTCCCAAAGCCCAAGCAAACCTCGACATCTAATAAAGCACACTTTCGCTTGCCTCAGGCATACACAACCGGTACAGAAACAGGTATTGAATTGCTGCTCTGAGCACATGCAATGCGACACGAAGACACCTAAATCATTTTACGTAGAAACGCCGCACTGTTACTGCCTTCCACTGAACCTACCAACTCAGCGGCATCCTACTTGATTTCCATGCTACGCATTGAAGGCTGTGTGTTTGAATCAACACTTGGAAACGTACATCCAAGGTACCAGGGGTACCAACATCAGCGAGTACACATTTGCTGCTTCTGCTCCACCACACCCATAGATGTCGAGACATGCAGGATGGGGCTTATTCGAAAACTAGCTCAATACGCTGCCTTGGGTGACCGGCAGAGGGCGAGCCTGCTGGCAACCGAGTGTTCAGCAAATCTGCGAGCTTCATATTTTGGTCATTGCTGCTAAGGTTTCAGTCAAACGTTCAATTGAATTCCTTACATGTAATTGCAGAGCCATTAAGAAGGCGCGCATGCTCGAAATTCTCTCGTCCTATTACACTGCTAAGCCGCCGATATGAAGACTTTGCCTCTCCTTGACGCACCAACTCCACACAGCTCACCATGGATAGAACAAGCGCTGGGGAAGACGCCGAAAAATGCTTCCTTAGAGCTTTTTGCAGCACCCTAACCTCCACAGCACGCAGCTGTGGCCGCCATCTCGCCCTTTATTAGTTTAATTATGGCATAAGTGGGATTACGTCACGATGCACGCGTCCTGACCATGCTGATATGACGCAATTGCTATTTGGAGTGACATTTCATTCCGTAGTCATGCCGATCCCGTCGCTCTGCCGTCAGCCAGCAATACTGATTCTTGGGGGTTGCTGTAACGACTGAACGTTTACGTTGCACTTCTTGCGCTGTATCCCCAGATAACAAATCTACTTCACAGTCAGTGTCAAGCAGCGTTAGCAATTTTCGACCAGTAGTTTAACTTGTGTCAGAGCAGTATTGACCCTTGCTTATACTTCAACTGTGGCATTGATCTCAGTAGCCCCGTTCCATGCGCCACAGCCTCTGTGAGGGACTTTACATTTTTATTTGCGCATTGCTTGCTCACCAAGCAGCTTCCGCTCAGACCAGTCCTGTTATTCAGTATACCTTGGCCTTTTGCACGCACTGGCAGTTGGCAACTCTTTGGACAAGATTCTTCCACTATGAAAACAGATGCGGTGCGAGGAGGCTCTCTTGTGCTGTTCCCGAGAGCTTATTTCCTTTGACATTCGCTTCACATCCGCCTTGCACCAAGGGCTAGTGCTTGTTAACACGGTGCCGACACCCCTTGTAGCAGACTAAGCTCAGCTCAAACACGTTGTGCTATGCGAGTGTAAATTAATCTATGAATTTTTTAGAAGTTTTCTAATTGTCGTGTTTGTCCACATCTTATTTATTGCTAAGTAATGGTATTTCGATATTAGAAAACACAATGCTGTGTGCGCGTGCGCAATATGCTGTGTGCAATTAGCTGTGAATGTTTGAAGTGTTTGCGGGGCGCAACTACGTGTTCCCTAACTATCCACATTTGCTCATGTTGGAACCTCTGAGGCGCGCCTGCACAGAACGGCAAACATTTTTTGAAGAGCACCCAAAACCTTTCACCAAGATTGTGTTGAGTCTGGAGCTGAGTGTAACCCTGTGGAAAACGTACATGGAGCATTACAGCTGGTAGCACCGCCTGGTTTACTCTCCTTCCACCTCATCCTCTAGTTCTAAATGCATTGGGGTGTCAGCTTTTTCCAAGTAGCTGTCTGCTTCCGATCAAGATATTTGTTACCTCAGTACTCTGCTTTTTGGCAAATAGATAGGGGAAAGTGGGTGAAAATATCCTGGTGATGGAAGCTGAAGGTGGCACAACGCTTGCTGGGGGGCAGAGACTGGCGCACAAGCTGGTGTGAAGGCAGTAGCTCCACAGCTGGTAAAAACACATGATTGCTCAGTCAATAGAAGCTAAGATTCCCAAGCTAAGGAACTGTTGACCAGACCCGTACGAATAACCGTTAGGTCGGCAGCTACTCGAGACTCTCATCAGTCAGTAGGAGATGTACTTCATTCAGTACCCTCAATGAAAAGAAGCAGCGAGCCCTTGGGGCACGCTTCTTGGGGGATAACCATTTTAGTAGAGGCTCCTTTCATGCAGAAGTAATCACCTGCCTGCATAGATTACTACAATTCACTTCTTCACACTAGCCCTGACACATCGGAGTTCGTCGAAAGCAGCTCAACCGCAGGCCTTGGGGGAATTGAGAGAGCTGAGGCGGGAAAACCTCTTAATATATGGTTATATAAAGAGATATCCAGCTTATTTCGCAAAAGTCGCAACGTCGACGGAAAGCTGCTCAGGGATTTATCGCAGATCTCCCAAAAGTGTCACTTCAGGTGGCATAAGGGTAGGCAGCAACTCAACCATACAGCAACCATTTAGAAGAGGCTGTTTAAGAAGGAAATACGCGCAGCCGCTGCCTCTGTAGTTGGGCCCGCTGCACAAACGCGCGCCACGTTGCGTCGTCCTGTTGGGCTGTCAGCACTCTTGGATAAATTAATTGTATTTGCGAACAGAAAAGCTTATGTATAACTGAATGTTGCTTAATACACCTTGTTCGGTAGAAAATATTAAAGTGTTACTTAGCTCGCCCGAAGCACCACACATATTAGGCCACGATGCACGTAGGTAACTTTGTTGTACCAGTCGCATTCATTTTAGATCTTATTTATTAGTTATTTTTGTTGGTTAGAGCTGAGCTATCTTTGCATGTAGGGTGCCAGAGCCACCAGTAGGGTTTTAAAGCCACGCATCGTTTCATGATTAGGGCGGTTGCAACCATCGGTCCCCCAGCTTGCCCTCTTGGCTACCTTCATAGGAGGACCTACTTCGAAGACTCCGAAGCATTGTTAAAGACACTAAAAGGGCTGTCTGGAGGCAGAGCAGTATACAGTTACACATGCATTACTCATGCGTTTTGCTGTACATGTCTATTCGGGGCAACAGAGTTCGTTGCATTTCCCCGCATACGACAAAAAACAAATTCTCCGTTATAGCTAGTCTTGGTTCCTTTAATTTTTCGACTGCATAAATTTAGCGATTGCAAAGGGAGAAAGCTACTCAGGGCAGCAAAAGTCGTCACGCTGCTGCAGCAGCCGCTACAGCACGGGCTTCCATGCAGCTGCAAAAGCTACTTCCTTCTTTCCACCCGTTCACAATATTTGTTTCCCTTCTGTTTTAAATAAACTTAAAGTATGCCCTTTTATGTCTCGTCTGAGGGGCTATTACTGCCCTTTGCGACGGCTCAGCTTACTCCCCGCTCCAGAAGCCACCGCAGCCAGAGTTGCTACAAGGCCAAGGATCTTATTTCCCTAAGAAACGGAGGCGATTACACAATAGAGCAGGCACACAAGAACTCGTGGCCTGAAACCTGGCTGATTTCTGGGACTCATTATTTAGCTTTTTGGCAGTGCTGCCCATAATTTGGAGCAGCGGTGAGGCTCAAGTGTATGTGGCATTATGAAAGACAATACGGCGCGATCAGTTACCCCAATCGCTGCTACTGGCCTCTCTGGCAGCTTTGGCGCCTTTGGAGAGACATTTGTACAGCCTCCCACTGCAGTGACAAATGCAGGTGTTACCCTTAATACAGCAGTACAACCAGCGGTTACCCCTGCCGCTGCCTCCTCAAATCTCTGGCTCATGGATTCCGATGGGCACAATCCTCTCACCGAAGGTGCGTGGGCCCCCCAAATCTCGGCAGCAGCAACGCACCAGCAAGCAGCAGAAATGCAGCAGCTCGAACTCCTCAAACAACGACGGCAGCAGCAGCTGTTGTTGCTGCAGCAGCGACAGGCTCAGCAGCACCACATGCAGGAACAGCAATTGAGACAGCAGCTGCTTCATCAACACACGCCCTTGCAGCAATCCGTCAATCCCCAAGTTCTACAGCACCATTTGCAGCTGCAGCAGCTGCATCAGCAACAACAGCAACATCTTCAGCAGCAGTTATTGCAGGGACACCAAAATCAGAGGGGATCAGAAGAACAGTTGGCGAGGCAACTGCTGCACCAACATGAGTTGCTACAGCAGCAGGAGCTGTTGCAGCAACAGGGCTTGGTGCAGCAGCACGATCTACTGCAACAGCAGGAAATGCAGCAGCAGCAGCAAGATCTGTTGCATCAAGTTGTGCAGGAACAAGCAGTTGCAGCACAAACCAGCTCCATGCAGGTCTCCTCTTGTGAGGATCCCCAGAAGAATCAGCAGCAACAACTTGTGCTCCTACAACACGATGAGCAGCACCAACCCCAGCAGCAGCCGCGCGAAGGCGCCCCAGCCGCAGCGACAGCAAATGCTTCCTCAGTCCCGCAGCAACAAGTGCATAAACTCAGCAGCAGAAATGGAAGTGGAAACAACGGCAAAAGTAGCAGCAGCAGCACCACGCCGTCCACTAGTCGCCCTTCAGACACAGCGGCACCCGACGCCCTTGGAACAGCCGCCAGCAGCAGCAGTTCTAGCAGCATGACGAAGAGTGAGGCGGTTTCAAGGGCCTCTTTGCCCCGTACTTCTGTTTCAAGTGGAGGCACAGATGCCTCGTCAGCGTCAGCTGCATCAAGAGCGGCAGCACGAGAAGCAGCAGGAGCGGCAGGCTCAGGGGCCCCTCCGCTGTCGCTAACGTCCAAAGTGCCCCGCGGCGTGTGGTTCAACCGATCGACGGGCTGTTGGCTTGCGTGTGTTTCGGGCGTTGGCAAACGCCTTCATGGTCAGTCGTTCATATGCAGTAGCTGTGGAACGCGGCTGCTGCTGGTTCCACAGGAAAGGCGTGCCGATGAGCGTTGAGCGTAATTTTGTCGCAGGCCGTCCTGTGAGAGTCTTTCTGCGGTAGCCGCTGCTGGTTTGCATTTTACTCCGCCCGTTCGAAGCACATTGACTGTCTGTGGAGTAGCTGCTGAAGTAGGGTTAGATATCATTAAGTCCGCCACGTGGTGTTGTTTGTCATCCTGCAGTCTTTAGCTCCAAGCGCTATGGCCACGAAAGGGCTTTCCAAATGGCTGTCAACTGCAAGGAGGCGGACAGAGCTCAGGCAGCTGCCGGTGCGGCAGGCTCACAAGCGGGTTCGGGGGGAGTCGCAGAGGGGGGCCCCCACGACATATTTGCAACGTCTTCAGCACGAGGATCAGCCTCGGCAGCTGCCGGAGGCAGCAGGAGGAGCAGGACCGCTAGCGGTAGAAGGCAGCAACAGCACCATCCCCTTGCAATGGGAAGTTCCCCGGGAAGGGGTCCAGGTGTTGCCGACACTGAGGTCCCCCCCGCGATCCAGCAGGGCGATGGAGATGATGAAGACGCACTAGATTCTGCCACGGATACGCGCACGGAAGAGAGTGCAGTAGGCCGCGCTTGCTGCTATCGGGCTACTGCTCCTGGGTGCTGCGCTTTCGCAATGCATAGTCTTTCTAGTTGGTCCGTAAAACTGAACTGCTTCTAGAGTTGCTTGCTCCGGTGGTCTGAGGGATTCCATTCCCTAAAGTGTGAGCATGTCTTGCTTCGCTTCAGCATCCAGGAGCTCTCAGCGAGCGCTCAAAGAGGCGTCGTGTCCTTTCCTGTAGGTATTAGCCTCGGCAGTCATACGCACAGTAGGCGTGGCGAATGATCCACTGCAAGTCGCGCGCTAGAAAGCAAAAGTCATGTGAATAAGAACGTCAGCCTGAAAGGCCATTCCCGAATATTTCTCGAGTTGCGTGTACGGCTCTTAGGGCGTGGAGCTGAGGCAGCAGCCAACGGTCTGTACTCTGCTGTCGGGGTGCCCGATGAAGGGGGCCTTCAGCGAGGCGGAGGGGCCCTGTGCAGCGGCAGCGGTTCCATGAAGTCGCTCAACCGAACAGGCAGTGGGCTGGCTTGCGAGAGGTCTCGGGCTGAATCTTTATTGGACGGAGGTATGGCTTGGTTATAGCTGGTATTCCCCAGTTGCTTGGATGTGTGTTTATCTGAAAATAGCGGCGTGCTGTAGGGCCCCACTCTGCCGCAACGGGGTGGGGAGCGTTTGCCTGCCAGTTTCTTCAACAGGGCCAACTGCACTACCCTCTTATAATGCTCCTCTGTAACTTTTGTTAGTCCTTGTATGTTTAATGAACTGCATAGCCTGTGGCTGGCTGCATCTTTGTCTCTGCCCCTTTTGCTTGGTGCCTCTGCCTATCCTTACTCGGCTGTTGGGCTGCGGCTGCGGCTTCGATTGTTTTTAGTGCCTAAAGGCGTTTGGTTCAACTCGCATACCAAGTCTTGGACATGCACCACCGCGGGCCCCAAACGGCAGCTCCTTGTCTTTTCGTCGAACCGCTTTGGCTTTGCGGAGGCACGCAGAATGGCTATTTCCGCAAGGCTTGCATCTCTCAAGCTCGAGGGCCTCCCAGTGCCGCATTGCCCCCTTCTCTACGAGACTCCTATAGGCCTAGGAGCCCCTGGGGGCCCCCCAGAAGGAGGCGCAGCCCACGGAGGAGGCCCTGGGGCAGCGCTAGGAGGCCCCTCCGAAGGATGGGGTGGCCTTTCCCCCCATGAAGGCGGGGAGGATGGGTATGGGGGCACCCTGGTAGGAAGTTCAGGTAACCGGCGACGAAGAAAGCAGAAAGATGGAATCTCACAGTTCGTGAATTGCAAGCTGAGAAGAGGCGAGGCAGAGGAGTACGGGCATGACCCTTGGGACCCCTTCCGTACTGGCCTTCCGTTTGTTGCAGAGAAGGTAAGAGGCATTTTGCTCTAAAAGAACCCCCCCATCTATCCCCTCCACCGTCCTGTCATGTGCGTCGTGTTCTACGTTGAGTTCGTGTCACTGCACGTTCTCCCTCGTCTCTGCATTCTATGTACGTTTCCTCTGCTTGGCGCGCATGTGCGCGTACAGAATTCCGCCGTTTTGAATTGCATGCTGCGTTTTCTTCTGATGAATTTGTCCCCCCTAGGTGTCTTCTGTGTGCGTGCTTGTCCAGCCGCAAGATGCCTCCACAACAGGAGGAGGCACTGACGGTCTTCCACTGCGACGTTTATGTGCCTCTGAGCGCCGTTTGTTGGAAGTTGGCTCGATCGCTCTAGAATTATTGCTGAAGGATTTGCTACGTCTCTGTGGGGAGGAATTGGCGGGGGCTGCTGCCTGCTTTTCCTTCCCCATCTTTGCTGCAATCCGCAAGGCCCTTAACCGGGTGCAGAGGGCTTCAGACCCGCTTCACTTCCAGAGCATATTCAAAGCGCTGGCCGTTTGTATGCGCTCCCAGCAGCTGCCCAGCCAGCTGACACCTAGGAGGCAAGCGGAACTTCTCGCTCGAGTGCTTGCTGCAGAAAAAGTGTACAAAAAAGAACAGCGACAACAGCCTATTGGCGATGCGCCTGTGGCTTCAACGACAGGAGCTGCTGCTGAAGCTGTTGGAGGAGCTGTTGCCGTTGATGCCTCCGTGGTGGCAAACGGAGAGGCTGCAGCTGAACCTGAAGCACCACCGACAACAGTTTATACACCAACAGCAGCGGATATATTGCCATCAACTGAGGGTGCTCCTGGTAGAAAGCGGGAAACCGAAGCCATATTGGGAGACTCTAAAAGTGCGAGAATTGCTAAAGACATGTCCAGCGATGACACGTGCTCCTCACTGGAGTCTAGTGGAGTCGCACGAAACCAACGGGAGACCGATCCAGAAACAAGGCAGACGACAGAGCGAGGTGCAGCAGCTGACACAACAGGCGAAGCAGCACCCCAATCTCTACGATCGCACTCGGCAGATGCAGCTAGCCACCACGGTGTAACTTCAATAGCAGAAGCTGAAGTGGTGGAAAGCGGAACTACAGGGGCCGCCCTGCCGGAAGCACCTTCGTTGGCAGCAGCAATGCTGGTTGCAACGGCCGACAGTGGTGCACACGTTGATTGTGGTGTTTCTGATGCAGCACCACAAACACTGAAGACAGAATCGTGCAGCACGTGGGAATGCCCTGTGAGTGGCATAGGCCAGGAGGGGCCTCCCAGAGGTATCTCGGTGGACTAGGGTGATCGCTTCCAGCAGTTGCTACAGGCGACCGCTGTCGCTACGGGGATCACTACCAATCTGTGTATTTATTTTGAGTCAACTTCGTGGATTTAAAAACCTGCAAGACTGCGATTAAAGGGCCGTGCGTTTCTAGGGTTTTGGCTCGCAATCCGTAGAATGAGGAGGCTCCCCCACCTCTTCGCCATATCAGAGTGGTTCCTCTAGGATACTGTAGCTGCATCTAGTATACAAAAAGGCAATATCTAATTGGTTGAAGGCACACTAAATGTAAAATTCCACTGACTGCAGGGCCTTGTGCACAAATGTAGGCTTCGGGGGGGGATGCCACGGCGTCACGTGCGTCGCGCATTTCCGTACAACAAAAGAAACGAATTGAACTTCAAAATGCAGATTCACTGCAGCCAAAATGGCAGGCCGTCTTGTTATTATTATTCAGGCGCAGAGGCCCAATGCCTTGGTGAAGGCACCTGCAGGGGAAAAGGACTAGCAGCATGTACCGCAAATACTGCAAGAATACAGGCTGCAGTTCATGCCGTTGGCCTCAGTGATGTGGTACGCGGGCCCTCCATTGCGATAATATTCTGTACCCTCAGAGGCTTAGGTGCGGCCAGTATCCCGGGATAGTTCTATGAGCCTAGTTGGGGCAGCAAGATCTGGTGCTGCTGCTGCATCGGATACTGCGCCTGCACGAGGCTGCAGCAAGAGCATCAGCATCGGGGCTTCCCTGAATTGATCATCCAAGTTTGCTGTTTTCCGGCATATCCGCGAGGTCTCCGTATTTGGCAATGATGACACAAGAAGTGACAAAACCAACAATGCGGAGAACCGCGCGCCACTTTGGAGAAATATACTCCCGAGGAGCCTCCCGCATCATTCCTGGTAACATCATTGTGGCCACGCTAGATTAGAAGCAGATGGATAAATCGAAAGGACAGATATGGCTCCGAACGGAAAGTAAGTATGCTGATGAATACCGCACAACCTGAGGGTTCCGAGGTGTAGCACTAGCTAGGTGCGTGCAAGTAGAAAATTAGATGAATTGGTGTGTTCTTCCTAATGTGTGACTCATTATATTTCTAGTGGGCCATGAATTTTGTTTGGGGGCGCTGGAATTGCGATCAAAGGAGGCCCCGAGGGCATGCAGCCCTATGTAGGAGCCATATGCCCCCCAAGATCTGATGCTTCTGAGGAAGAGGCACGCTAAGCATATTGTATTCACCAAATTTTGGAGGGTTTGTACAGGGACTGGTCAAGGGCTCACCTGATAGGCATCAACTCAGCCTGCTAAATCAGCGCGCAACTGAATGCGCCAGGCGGTGGCTCTGGTCGCTGTGCGGAGGGGCAGATGAACCCTGTAAGGGAATGTACTGATCTAAGTTTGTCTCCATATTTACACCGATTTATGAATTTTGCGCACTTCCTGATATGTGGCTGTCCCAGGCAACCCTGGTTAGTTCTTCTTATTACCTTGGAACGCAACGAAATACCTGGTTCCTTGGGGTTATGCAGTTTGAGACCTTATCGCCAGACCTTGGACCTAGCTGTGTCCGACATTGCATGCTTTGTGACACTCAATTCAAGGTCTCTATATGCACGCATTCAACTCCAGACACTACGTCTACTTCATGGGCAGCAAATGATTGTCCTCCAAAAGAGGTCCCGGTTTCCCCTGCACGCAGCCCTAAGAGGTCTCAACATGGAGAGAGAGTGACAGCGAGGGTGCGTGTAGCTGGATTCGCTAGGCAGTCGGATCATTCAGAGCTAGTTGCACGTATCCTCTAACGCATAGGCACACAACATTGCCTTTCTTGTGTCGACCTCACAGTTCTCTGCAATATGCACGCTGTAGGGAAAGAAAATCAAAAGATAAGCTTCAAACTAATTTTTCATCGATTATAACAAGTGCATTAGAAAGTGTTTGCGTGTAGTCTAGCCAGCTACTTGCGTCAATCTCTCCAAGCTTGCCGAGGGGCTTTGCTCCTTGGCCACGGCGCGGGTGGGATAGTATGCACCAGCAGGTGAGGTACAGCAAAGCTGGCTTGCGTTGAGCGCCTCTTGTGGTTTGCTATTAACAAGGCTTAATACAAGCCTCTAACTTCTTGAGTAAAATGCCTCATATTAGCCTCGGTACAAATCCAGTATAAGGGAGACTAAAAGCCTACTAAATCCGTTATCCACTGGTCATTTAGATAGCCGTGCCCATCAATCTCCACGTGCATGACAGGCTGGATGGTCGGCATCCAGATGTGCTCAACCTTCGAAGTCCCCTGTGGTTCTCCGCCCTGCTTTTTCCTGACTAATATTTATTTTAGCATTCACTTTATTGCATGTAAAGGATCGCAATGTGTAGCGAAATTACGAATTTCCCTTGAGCATCACGTCTATGCTCACCCACAACTTGTAGTAATACCGCTGGAGTGAGCATTACCCACCCTTGCACACGGCTCAGCCTGCAGTGTTAAGGCCTGAGCTTGCATGATGGCAAAGGAGACAATGAATTAAGGGTTTATGCATCAGTGATGGGCTTTTCAAACACACAAAGGCAAAGCAGACTCTAGTTTTTGCTTGTCGCCTAGTAGGCTAGTGTTTGTTAAAAATGAGGAACTTGACCAGACTAACCTAACGCTATGGATGCTGTTTTGTATTAAGATATGAAGGAATACATGAAAAGAGGGAAATAATGATTGCACCCACGCTTTTGTGCTTTCGAGTTTGTTAGACTTATACTTCGGGAATACCACTAGATCATTTGATATCGATAGATAAAGTACTTAGTAAGTCTCGAAATCGAGTCGAAATGGTTTGAGTTAAAGGGATGCGATAAGGAATTACCTGAGTGAGGTCCTCACTATAAGCTGAATATCGCTCCCTCTCCTGTGAACCATGAAAAAGTCACTGCCTCTGCAGGTAAGGTAGTCACAGTCAAATCGGCTCACACTTCGTAAAATGGGGAACTTCTAAAGGCATGGTTGGCTTTGTTCCTGCTGAAGTGTATGGCAGTTGTGTCTGCCGAGTTAGGGTCCCTCATGCTGACAGAGGAAACTCAGAGCTTTTATGCAGTCCTCGCGACACAGGCTTTCAGTGCGTGGGCCACCCGAATAGTCGCCAACACATGAATATGCCATGTCTGGCCGCTTCCGAGATTTTTTTCAAATTCGCAATAGCGGTCAAAATTTGTGATAGGAAGCACAATGGCTCCCCAGGGGAATAATTAGCCAAATTAAGCATGCTTAAATGAAACTCAATGGTTCATCTTTTCTTCTTTGCAGCAAGATTCTTGAACACTCTAGGAATGCTTGAAAGGCCCGGAAGTGGCAGCTATCCAGTTTTTGTGGCACGCTACCCTTACCTGCTGCCTCTGGCTTGCATATTACCCAATACTACTTTCGATCTTACAGGTATTCGAGTTCAGACCCACCTGGCTTCCAGCCCGTGTGCTTCCTGTAATTTGGGACGCACGCTTATATCCGTACAGGCGTCATACTTTGGGCTGCGGTAGTGATCATTCTCGCAGGTGGCGCTTGAATGGGATGTTTCCTGTTCTCTATGATAACTCGAGGTACTAGACGCCTTGAATCAAAATCCGCTGAAACCTTTGACAGCTCAAGTGAATCTGGAACCCCTCGAAGCTGGCCTCTATCTGCACTTGTCAGCAAGGCCTAAGCTACGCTCGCCATGCTAGACCCCGACCCACTTGGTAGAAAAGGAATCTCTAAGCCTCAAGAGGATTCATCCCAGCCCATCAAGTTGCCTATTTGCCACGAGCCTAAATGCAGACTTAACACCACCCGCAATAAAGCCACATTAATATTACCAATACCTAGGGGTACGCACAATTAACAACCTGGCCAGCAGACGCGCGTCTGTTGCACCCCCCTCGATAAAGTCAAAATCACGAATCGATGCAGCTCTATCAATTGCAGACAAAGCACCAGCATCCGGCTTTCCGACATCAGTGTCAGGGCCTTTAGCAGTGGCAGCAAGAGCAGGGTCAACAGCAGCACTGCCTACTGCAACGAGGCATGGAATCAATGAGTGCGGACAGCTTTACCATTCAGGGGGCCCAGAGACATTTGCTTTCTACAGCAATGATAACAAAACACAATTGCCTAATCTGTGCAAGTTTCAGGCACATTAGCCACCGTAGTGGCGCGAATGCGTGCCACAAGAGCAAGCCCATCACCCACTACCGCAAAAAGCAACTCAGCAGCAGAATTGCCTTGACACGCTCCGAGTAGGAAAAGGAAAGCATAAGACTTTACACTCGATATAGTGCTTTTCTCGCCTCATGCATGGGAGAAGCTTTAGGGGCCCTACGCCCACTGATGCAGCAGATACGGGTGGCACACTTCGGCAAGAGCAAAACCAGCACCAGTAGACGCAAGATGAAGAGCAGATGGGCAAGTAGCAACATCAATAGCACCCCGAGTGATGAAAATCGCAGGAGGACGGCCAGAAGCATGTACGCTCGCTGCTCGTGGTTCACTCTCTGCATCATAAGTATTGGCAGGCACATAGCCACTCGGTAGCAGAAGCAGTAGCAGCTGCAATACCTTCGGGCACCCCCTCAACAGCAGGAGCTTCCATGGCAGTAGCACAATGATCAGCAACAACAGTTTCTTTGTTATTCGGTGCGACAACAGGACTATCACGGGCAACTTCAATATCGAAGTAGGCCCCTGCAGAAGGAGCTGCCGGAGCAGTGGAAGAGTTAGCGGGAATATGTCTCAGGCATTGTTAGAGCTTCAGAAAAGGACCTCCACAGAGGCCCATCGGCCCACGTCTGGAGGCCCTTGCACATTTTTATCCTCAATCCGTTACAAGCAAATCCAATCCAACGGATGAACTTTCCAGTTCGAAAAGTTGGCTAGCTGCATGCTGCGGTAAGACTATTACAAGACCTTAGTAACAACTCAAGCAGCAGTTATGCCTGATGGGGAATGGAGCGGTTTTCCCTGGCGACAGCGCTTAGGGAGGCAAACACATGAGTAAAGCTCCCGCCTAGAGTGATTCGATTATCGGATCTCACTCTAGGGCCAATTCTTTTGCCTCAGAGATCCCCCCAATCTCATAGCTGGCTGCTCTTCTTCATATGATGGAAAATTACATAGTGGTGTCAGTAAGAGCCCCCGGGGCGGCTTCGACATTTACCATAGCTCCCTATAGCGTCAAAGGCAAATATTTAATTAAAAGCATGTAGGCCTGTTGAGAGTAGGGTCTCATCAAGGCTCGCAGGGACCCGCATAGACAGTTTCTAGAGGAGGGCCTACACTACTAAAAGGACAGGGATACAAATCCAGTTAGTCAGTCTAAGGAATGTAAACTCTGCTGCAGCAAAAAATTCATTTGCTTACTGAGGTTTAAACTGTAACATAGCACTAAGAACCATCAGTGGCATCATGTCATTACAGTGTTACGGGACAGTTGGATGGCGTAACGCGAAGCGTCATTAGAAGCTGAGACGCATTTTCATGTATCGAAAGGCATTTCAATGAAAGATTTATCCCATAGACCGTGATTCGCTCGACGCCCTAGCTAAGGCGCAAGCCAAGACAAACGACGTGGGCGGTCATCCGCCAGGTCAGCAGGAGCTTCAGCTTGAACAGATGCATCAGCGATCCCGTCTGCCATCGTGGTAGAAGCAACGGCTCAAAAATCCTCCAGTAAGTACAGGTGGCACAGCCAGTGCTATCTCAATGCACTCGGCTCTGCTGTAGCTGCAGCAAAAGAAAAACCAGAGAGTTAGGAGCGCGAGGAACCAGTGTTTCAGTACATGCTGCCGCAGCTAGAACCTATCGAGCTACCAAAAAAACTGGTGATGCTAGCCTATATGGTTCAACAGCAGCGTCCGGCTCTGATTCCACAGCTGTATCAGCAGCAGGAGCACTCCACACATTTGTACACTTATTCTCAAATCCTCTCCCATGCGTTGGAGCAGCTGAGAATAGCAAAGAGGCAGAAATGATGAGGTGCAGTCTTTACACGCTCCAGTAGCTGCCCGCTGCCTTAGGTGACACCGAGCCACGAAACTGTGTTGGCAAAGTCCACCTCCGCAAGCAGTCAAGCCTGCGATAAGACTTCCGGCTGCAGTTCCTACCATAATAGCACATATTGTTACAACAAGCGCTGTGGGAGCAGCTCATGATGCATCACGCCTCCATAAGCAGTAGCACGTAGCTGCATGCAGCGAGAGCAGCTACAAACAACCTCCAGCCTGCAGCGGGCGGTACTTGTTGCACTGCACAATAGGGACTTTTGTCCTACCAGCCGCCGCCTAAGGAACATCTTCGGCACAAGATATGTGGCAGCAGTACTACCGGCACCGTGAGCAGAATTATCGTTGAGCCGCTGTAAATGTATGCCGCAGTTGCTCGGTATTTGTCCACCACATGCAGCCCCAGAGAAACAGAAGTCATCCGTAAAGGGAGATCGGGTAAGTCAAGTACATACATGCGGGTAGCAGTCAGGATGGACGCTTGCTGCTGCTGCCGCTGTCACCCACCTTCGGGGTGCTCTCGTGTCCCCCTCTCTGTAAGCCTGAAGGTCTACAGACGAGCCTACAAATTGCAGGTACTTCGCCTCTCCCTGCACTGTTGCTGCCACGTTTGCTATCTTCAAAGAATGTATTTGTCCCATCCGCTAAAGCCATTACATACGCTACTCATGCTATATGTTCATTCATCAGAACCAACACCATAGTGGCGACAGTTACAAGGCAGCTTCACCGTGGGGTTTGCACGAGGCTGCGATGCTTGGTTCTCTCCTGGGATCTTTCACAGTATCAGTGAAGCTAGTAAATGCACATTAGATACCTAAAAATACGGCAGAATAGTCCCAGTTACCCCTGGTAGTGCTAGTATAACGCTTTCTGTGAAGGAGAGGGCCTGCTCTAAGCAGGTTAGCACTTATTGTTGCAACCAGGGCAGGCCGTCTCCACAGTAGCACTTTTCTAAAACAACTACAAAAAAATCGGCTGTGGGTGCATATATGGTTACAACCTATCCAGACCAGTGACTTCCCGGCTTCGTGCAGCCTCGGCAGTGCCTTTACTGGATAATGAAGTGCCTGACCAAAATGGTGCCGTCACCACTGAGGACAACAGTAAATTTAGCACGGGTGAGAGCCCACAGCGGCAGCTATACAGGAAATACCAGTATTTCATGTGCCGAGCAGCACTAAAAGTACCTTTGGCAGCCCTAGCTGCATGTACAAAGGCTGGATCAGATGTCAGAATACAGCAGAGAAACCGAAGCGCCGGCGCAATGGCGGGCGCTTAGGAGAAACCATGACAGTGGTAGTGAAATGCAGATTCAAACACCCCGGAGACTTGACACTGCCACGCCGGTTAATCGCACCAAGCCCTCTGGAATGGATCAGGAAACAGGCTATAGGAGAGGCCTAGTTAGATACAGTCCTATCTGCAAAACTCCAGAATATGCGGCTTGCTAGGAGCAATGGTACGCCAGAACAAATACACATTCACCTTTGTTGTTGCTGCCCCCATCCTTCCCTCACTCTGCCTAGTGGCATCTACCAGAAATCGAATCCATTAGACCTAATTCTTCACGTGTCGCCGAACGGCGAAAAATTACGGTTGGAAAAACATCCCCAATTTCCGCTTCCTGCCTCACCAAACTACAAAATAGCAGCATTGGTATATATATTCCTCTGACTCCAGCCAATGCTTTTTACATCCTAACAATCCAGGGGCCGTGTCCAAAGCGAAATGCAAAAATCCTCCTCTCCTTGGGCAGTAATCTTTGTGAGCAGAATTGGACTCCCCTTCATGTGCCCCCTGTGCGGAGGGGACTAAAGAACGCATCGACAAGGGCCTTCCGCACACGACTCGAACATCATTTTGAGTTACTTTCTACATAATATACTCATATTCCTAAGTTGCAATTCAGACCGAAACTCGCCCATAGACCCTCATCCCCACCCAACACCTTGTAGCCATTTTCCACGGCTACATGAGCCCATTCTACATTCTTTATCCTCTATAAACCCGTCAGTCCCAGATGTTCTGGGATTGGACCCCGAGATCTGTGCAAAACACCCCAGGGACGCTCAAGAAAAAAGTGACAGAACTATGGGATTATGTGCCACTCTGAATTACGCTTTGCCATCAGCAATCAACTTGCAGGAAAGCAGCGACCAAACCACCCCCTTTTCCTTTATCACAGTTGTGTACGTTAGAGACGCACCACCTACCGTACTCCCCAAGCGCGACAAAACCCTACAGCGCTACGGAGGCAATTCGGGTAGCGAATTTGGTGCACTACAGCGTTGGTCCAAGTCAGCTACATAGGCCCCTAAGTGAGGATTCCCACAAAGCCTATGTACTGGCGTAGCCCCTCCAACAGGCAAGCCGGCAGCATCCACATGAATACCACGCCAATGAATTTCTATTCCGTGCCCGGAGCCGTAGACTTACCATGTTAGGGGTTACTGCAGAATAAGGCTGCTAAAGATGCCATCTACCTAGGTGAAACCGTGCTAAGGCTACACGGAGAACATGGCGAGGGCCTTTCTCTAGTGCAACTATCTTCTCGAGAGCACAGCCGCCGCATGGCTGTGAATACAAAACAAAGGCTGTGATACGACAATACCAGCAAAACCAACAACTGGCTGTTCTTCACAAAATGGATCAGCACAGAAAACCTCATACACTTGGCACGGGAGCACCGAACGGCGTGAGGTGGGGTGTGAGGGGTGCTACAGGATGGGTGGGGTAGAGGCACCACCCTGCATTCAACATGCATAAAGTAGTGCATGGTTGTGTATAGACTTCTTGAGTTTTGGTTGGCAAAGTTCTTCAAAATCATCAAAATAAATGTGTCAAGATTTTTTTGAATTAAAAAGTAGTAATGTATGACGATTCTAGAAAAGCGATGGTGCGCACGGTGCATTCGCCCAGCACGGACTAGCAGGCTAGCTACTCAGCCGGCCGCCCCTACCCCCGGGTTTGCTGCTGCCCGGGCCGCGTCCGAATGCGCGCCCCGCGTGTCTGCTCCTCCCACATCCGTTATTGAGTGGTTGCTATCGTGAATTGTCTGCTGTTTTCCAATCTTTGCGAAGATGTCTGGACGTGGAAAGGGAGGCAAGGGGTTGGGAAAGGGCGGTGCCAAGCGCCACAGGAAGGTCCTTAGGGACAACATTCAGGGTATCACCAAGCCCGCTATCCGCCGTCTAGCGCGCAGGGGTGGTGTGAAGCGTATCTCTGGGCTGATCTACGAAGAGATTCGTGGTGTTCTCAAGGTCTTCCTTGGGGGTATCATCAAGGACGCGGTTACCTACACCGAGCATGCTCGCAGAAAGACCGTTACCGCCATGGACGTTGTGTACGCCCTTAAGCGCCAAGGTCACACCCTGTACGGTTTCGGTGGCTAAATGCCTCTGTTTCCTCGTCGCCTCAGCAGACCTTGTCTTGGTATGCACCGAGTAACGTGAATGTGCTCGGCGAGGTTCTCCCCTCAGTCTATAATCCGCTTCGGCGGCGTATTTAGGCTTCACTAGAAGCCACCAACTGGTAGAAATCTACTTGGCTGGAATAGCGTTTTGTAATAGTTCGAATGCTTTCAGCTGGACAAATGGATTAAATCGACTTAAATGACAGTTCGTCGGGGGCGATCTCTTCAGTGTCTGGTAGAAGCAGAGTTGGCAACCTTTCCTGCCCTCCTTGGAGGCTAGAAGAGTCGTTAGTAGGGAGGGAATGTGGGTTGTTGAGCACTTTCTCTAGGCTGTATACAGTCAGTTTTGGGGATGGCTCCGCAAAGCCTGGTGGGAGCGTAGCAGTAAGAGCCCTGTAGGCAGCGATTGCGTCCCTGTCACTGCAAAAGAACGGCTGCCGCAGGCTGCCGTTGAAAGCAAGAGCGAGGATCCAACGGCCGGGAGACGTCTCTATGGGAAGCAGTGGGTAGCACAGCGGCCTGCTTGTTGATTTATTCCGTCGGAGCTTTTGCTCCAGCTTTGCGCGGAGTTGTCGAAGAACTCGGCTCTTTGCGATGTCGCCCCTTGTGTCAATGGCTGGCAAGGTGTACACGGGTATTCCTTCGAACTTGCCACTTTTACTTAGCTCATTGCAGAGGGTTTGTGTGTTGGGAACCAAAATGCATCGCATCGATTTTCCTTGAGATCCCGAGAAGAATCGCCTGGTTCGCCTAAAGAGCGATAAAATCCTTCCATCGGTCTCCTCCCCTGCTGCACGTCGGCCATTTGAGTCGACGTACCGCAAGCATCCGTAAGCCTTGCGGAGGGTCGTAGATCTAACGTGGAAGTGAGAGGACGAATCCTTGGATACGTGGTGTAGATAAGCTTTCGCATCCTTTGCACTCATGAAGAATATTCCGAGGGAAAAGAGTGCATGGGCAGGTGAAGAAGCAGCGGCGGCTCCTGTTTGGAATTGGTGAGTGTTTTGTGCTTTCGGGGCTTCGGCAAGTAATGCAGTGTCTGTTGCGGGGTACGAAGCTGCAACAAGGGAACCCCCTCTGTCCGCCACGAAGAACACGGGGCACACGCTGAGAAAGTCAGCAACTGAGGGGGGGTAGAAAGCTCCAGAAGGGTGCAGGCAGACCTCTGCGGAGCCGTTAGCGGAGCTGGCAGTTTTGGGGGAATCAGAATCTGGAGGGCAGTAGGCATACAAACCCTCTCTAAGTCGCCGCAGCTGGCCTAGCGCAAGGCGGGAAGCAAAAAGGCGCAGGCTCTCTTGGCCTGCGTTTATGATGGTGTGTGTGGGAGGAAGGAGGGAGGCCGTAGTTCTTAGGAGGCTGGTGTTGGGCAATCGGGTGGAGCCGATGTTCATGCAGGATGAAGTAGCTATGGAACAGAACGGAAGGAGGAAAAACAGAATGACCCTGTAGAAGTGTCGAAACGTAGGAATTGGAACCGGAGACATCGAGTCCGACGGAAAACAAAAAAGTCTCCGACTTAGCACTCTTTGTCTTTGCATGATTCAGGGTGGGAGAAACCAGCGGGAAAAACCTGGGTGAGAGGAGTGTATGCGCTACTTCTGTAGGGTCGCAAGGTGTGTGAATGGATGGTTTGCTCTTCACGCTTGTTTTTAGTGCGTGTGATCTGTGAGGAGGGCGGCATCTGAGCGAAGAGCTAGTGAGCCGCACAGAGACCCCGTGAAAGGTGTATAAGGGCAGCACTTGCTGGAGAGCGATCAAGCTTAATCATTAAATCATGGTAGAAGGCCGTGACGAGAAGGAAGAGGGCAGGCGCCTAGTTAGCGACTCACGGAGGGTCGAAGGAAACAGACCCCTAGCGTAACGATCAGTGCCTTTGTAATAAAATTATGAAAACAGCGTTGAAACGTTAATCTATATGGGTTTTTGATGCATAGACCAATTTGGGGCGACGTAGGGGGGACAAGGGGGCTGAGGGGGGCATTCGACGGGCCCCAAGCAGAAGGCCCCTTGGAATACTTTGCACCGATTAAGGCAATAATCCTTGCATTTACTAACCTAACCATTTCATGAATTATCGCATATTTGGCATCCATTAACCGCTTCTGCGGCTCTGGATAAAACGGAGGCAGTAGGGTGACACCACTGCCTAGTTATTGTCTTGCACATACAGGAGCGCATCAACTCAACTCTGCTGTAGTAGCCGTGTCCGATACAAATGGTACGAATTGAAGCTCGGCTTAAATGCCTATGCAGCTGCCCTTCCGCCTGTTTGGTAATTGTGGTAGGCCGAGCCATTGCTTGCCTCCTCTCTCACTGGCCGTAACTCTGGCTTATTCGACTGGTTACAATAAGCAATCTGGCTCAGCTGCCTCTCCACAAACGCATCGAACACGTTCGCCCTTTGCCTGTTACTCCAGTGTGTCTACTTTACTTCAAAAACTCCGGTCATCACATGTATTCAAGAATTCTTTTGCTTCAGTGTGCAGCTCCAGGGAGCCTTTCAGTTTTTACGCATTTCCCTCTTCACTGCTTAGGTAAACCCTAAACATATCTCTATCACTCCCTGTGTGTGGAATGGTCCCATTTCAATGAAGTTAAGGTGGATGTAGAAGAAACCCAAAACGCCTGAGCACACTGTAACGCCCCATCTTTTAACAAATTTAGCGGAAACCCCAAAAAAAAATTTTCAAGTGTTCTCACAAGAGAGCTTTCTTCTTTCAGTGCCCTTGGTTTCCAGGGTTTCGGGATAGGGTACGAAGGCAGCTGCGGTGCGCGTTGTTGAACGCTCACAGCACCGCGAGCGCTTACAACTAGATGCACCAGGCAACTAGCGCATACGCATGAGGTTGATAGTTCTTTTCAGATAAAGTTATTCTATGATAATCATATACATACAGCCACACCAAAATCTCAGTTACTCTCAAGTACTTAGCTAAACATAACTAGTATATTACAAAATATCGAGGTTTAAGTTAGCCTGCTGCGAAACCGCCTCATGCTCCAGCTGCACTATACGAAGAAGCCGACAGCAGCTCAAGCAGTGTACGAAATGGTAAAACAGACATAAATCCAATGATAAACATTTTTTTCAGATATTATTTACTATTGTTCAAAAATTTTGAACGAACCGGTACTTCAGCAATTGTCTGTTGCCTTACTAAGAGAGCCAAGCACTTTCCATAGTCATCAACACAGAAGGGCGTCTCTTTATATGTGGAGAACACTGAGTTCATACATGCGGGCTATAGCGTGCAAACTTTGGTATGCTGCTGCTATAGCCCATCGTGCATGCTGTTTGCGCTCTGACTAGAGGATCTGGACACCTGTCAACACCTGCAATTAAGCCTATATAAACGCATATTCGTGAGCATTGTCGCCGCAGATCATTGATTATGAGGAGCCAAAAAGATGCTGGAAAGCATTCAGATGCACAAGCCACTTCCTGTATTACACTGCTTAGCCTGCACTTGTGTCCTCAGACGCTAGGCTGGGGGGCCTTGAGTGCATCAAGACTGCGCCTTGGCAGCATCACGTGTTCACAGTTAAGGGGACCGGGCTGTAACTATATCTTAACAACATTGGTAAGAAAACATGAACTATTTTCTATTTCTCTAGAGGCCGCAGCACTTGGGTTTGACAGTTCTCTGCCCAGCTAGTGCCAAAACAAGTGCTCCGACGGGCATTTGGAGAATTTGCTAACGCTACACTTGTTAATGCGCTACTTCCATTATGTCTCGCGTATGAGCGCAAGAATTAATGCGGGATGTCTACAGTCAGGTACGTTAGGTAGCTGGTACACAGAAGTGAGGGAGAGAGCGAACAAGCTGGGGCAGCTACAATTATGGTTCCGCAGCAACTACGCTGCTTCCGAGCTCACTCGCTCGATATAAAAAGTCAAACAGGCAAAAGGATTCATGATAACAAAAGCGATTCCCTCCTTTCTTGTTCCGCTCGGTACTCCTGGGGTGCACCAAGCCGTGACGCGATAACTTTGCTGCTTGACAAGCCGCAGAAGGTTCCGGCAGCATTGCTTGGCCTACCCAAATTGATCGAATCTCTTTTGAAAAGCTGTAATTTAGGCGCCTCAGGCTGCTGTCATCCTTAGTCGTAGCAATGCAGCCCACACCCCGGACGGCGTGGATCGTGGGGAGAAGATGGACTAGGCTACCAAGAACACGCAATATCGTGATTTGCTCATGGGGTACTTGCGATATTTTATAGATTTTGCTGCATAATGCTCGAGCTTTGAACTTAACGTTCCTAAAAACCATTAAACAAGCACTTTGGGCACAGAAGGCGCCGCTCACCCCCTCGAGGCCGAGACTGGTCCACGTGAGGTGTCGAGACACCCCCGCCTACTTTCTTGTCCTTTACCATGAAGACAAGATGAGGCATTCGCCCCCCTTCACTGTAGGTTATAGCTTCCTGTTGTGCCTGAAAAGACGCTATTTGAGGGCTTTTTTGATCCTCTTCACATTCCCCCAGAGTCTCGTGCGTTGTTTTTTCCATCTCTAGTACTGAGGAGAAAGAGTGCGCCACCAGTGCTTATGTTTGCAGCTGGATCTGAAGGACTCAATAGTTGTTGTGGAACCCTGGATTCTCCTTTCTTATGTAGCATTGCAGAAGCTGGTCCTGCCCCACGCGTCTGAGATGAGCATGGCTCGTTCTTGAATGTGTAGCCAATCCACCCTCAGCAACGCACCAGTATCAACGTACACGCAAGTTTCATAGCCACTTTACTTGGAGGCTAACATTTGACGACGACAATGGCGCCTAGACAGTCAGGCACATCGGCCGAGGAACATTCCCTACAGTTCAGCCAGTCAACCGAAGACCCCACAGGTCTCCTCCCGGACGAAACGACTGCCACGTATCATTTGCCGAAGGGATTAGATTCCTGCAGGGCATCACTGTCAGCGGGCCTGGGGAAAATAGGCAGTTACCACCTTGAAAATACACCTCCGAGCGCAGCGCTCATCGGTTCCACCAACACAGCTTCTTCTGCTGCTTGTTTGTTAAGGCCACACTTTGTCAAGGTACGTAAACACTGCTGAATATCGACACTTGTTGTTGTGCTTCCATTTATTAGCCTCCTGTGCACTTTGGTAGGATTTTGCATCCAAAGGACCCAACGCACAATTGGAGACTAGGCCTGTAGGGCTCTCTAGGAGTATTTCTGTAGGAGCTCTTGTTACTACAAACATGGCGAAGTGCGTTTAACGTCAAGGTATTCGTATTATTCTCTGCATTGCATGCTTGTGTGCCGCTGTCTATTGCTTGTGCTTTTCACTGCAGACCAAAATGTGTCCCTATGTTCAGCGAGGTTTTGTTTGTTCCAGAGGTTCTCGTTGTCTCTTTGCACACAGCAGAGAAGACCTGAGACCTCTGCCTGATCTTCGGCAGACGCGGATGTGCCCCCAGAAGAAGCAAAATGGAGAATGCACAGATCCGACCTGTCCCTACGCTCACGCGGTTGAGGAGCTGAAGCACACTCTGCCTCTCTATAAAACGTGAGGAGATGCTCCAAGGAGATGCTCCATGAGCTTCGACAGATAGTCCCTTCCTCCTTCCTGGCCCGCACTTCACCTCTGCTCTAATGAATAGAAGCTCAGTTTTGAATGCCTCAACTGTGCCCTTACGCACAAAGGGACGACGACAAGGGCCTTGGTAGCGCAAATTGGTCTTGAGTACCCCTGCTGTATGAGCTCTCAGACCGAGGGGTAGAAGAGGGTGGGGCGTATTACCCCTTGCCGTCTCAGATATATATATATATATATATATACATATATATATATGTATACATATACATATATGTACCTTTCCAACAAGCTCACTGTGGCGTCTATATATATAGGCAGCTGTGCTAAGGCATTACTAAGGCTTTGATTGTTGCAGGCTGATGCGCATTTTTTAGGAATCTTTGCCATGGCTGGAAGAAAGGCCGGTGCTCTGCGGGGGATGGATGCAGGCACGCACACGGCATCGAGGAGTTGCGACAGCACAGAAACTACAGGCGCAGACACAGAGGCCCCGGTGAGGATGTTCACGGGTCAGTGGTGGACCCACTAGCCGTGTCTCCCGAGACAGCGAAGGTATCTGCTGCTCCCTTAGCGCGCAGTCGCCGGCTCAGTTTTTCTCCTGCTTGGTGCTCAGCTGTAAGGGACGCCACCTATCTTCGGACCTCACCCTCTGTGGTCGTGCCCATGGCGCATGTTGGATGCACAGGAGAGCAGCAGCAGCACATTTTCGACACCCGAAGCAGCAGCAGCAGCAGTAGCAGTAGCAGCAGTAGCAGCAGTAGCAGCAGCAAGCCGCCCTTGGACGGGTTGACAGCGCCATCAGAGCACCATAGTGACCTAGAACCAGGATCCGGTAGTGCTTTGCACAAGGCCTCTTTTGCTTTTTATTCGGATATTCTTTCGCATCAGCCTTTCCCTCTGCAAAGACAGAAAGCCCCTGTCGAATACCCCCAGCCTCTGGCCACGCCTGGCGCAGAGCCTCAGGGTGAGGGATCTCAAGGCCATGCCCAGTCATTCGCAGCTGCAAGCGCCGCTGCTGCACAGGCAAGAGATCCTCCAGGAGGCTTACGAGGGAGCAGACGGAGACTCGTGCCCCCCAATTTACACAGGCCTTTCCTGCAACAGCACCTGCAGCACTCTCAGCACAGTGACGCGTCGAGTTACACTCTGCACCCGCTTGACGCAACATGGCAACACCATCAGCAGCCACAAACGCACCATCGCCCCGCAAAATGGACAACAACCGACTTGCTGCAGGCATTCGATTTCAACGGGCAGCAGCGACAAGAAACGCAGCAGCAACATCAGCACAAGCGACAAGAACTGCAGCAGCTACATCAGCACCGACAAGAAACGCAGCAGCAACATCAGCACCGACAAGAATTGCAGCAGCTATCAAACCTGCGCATGCAGTCACTACATGCGAACCCCCGTTTTCTGAGGCGGAGAAAGGAGCAGTACATGGAAGATGCAGATATGCCTCAGTTGTTGCTTCGCACTCCTGCAGAGCCAGGAGAGACACCAGCTAGTCAAGAACTGGGCCTTTTATTGAACGCAAACCGAGGCGACGAAGGGCTGCAAGACCTTGTGCTGCACACGAACGAGCCAGCGCCCACTCTTCAGCGATTGTGGACAAATAATAGCGCAAAGCAGCAAACGGATGACTTGCAGCAGCGGCACCAGCAGGGAAATATGCATGCGCACTTGCAGGAGCAAGAGGCCCTCCACAGCTTGCTGCGCTTGTTTTTTACTCAGCGTGAAGTCGCGACGCCTACAATGAGCCCCCTAGGGAGGGCAAGCGGCAGCACTAGCGAGAGCCGTAGTATCAGCAAAGTCAATGCCAGGCTTGCCTGCTCACAGCAGCCTCGGGAAACGGGAGGAGGACAGGTCTCCTCTTCGTTGCTTTCATACCACCAGCAGAGCCATTTGCAGCACCAACGGCCGTCACGAGAGCTGCATTACCCCCTTGAGGAATATGGACTTCACGAGACTGAGATGTTTTCGGGTAATTCGGAAGGCGTTGAGTACTGCGGCCGCCCCTTTCTCTCTGCTGCGCCTCCGTCTCACTTCTTGCTGCCAACCTCGGACCAACCATGCATGCAAGACACAATGAAGCATTCCTCGGAAAGATCAGTCGCACAGCTTCCAGACGGCCTGCGAGAGATGCAAAATTGGGCTCTCATTCCTCCAGAATTTCTAGGGGAAAATCCAGATAGGTGTTTCCAGCACCATGAGCAAAAGCCACCGCACCAACAGCTCATGCCGCAAGACCCCACACCCCAGCAGCAAGCGCTGCTTGACGGGCAGCAACACGAAAGGCACCAGCAGAGGCCGGCTTACCAGGGTTTTCAGCAGTATGAAGTGGAGACACAGCAGGAGGAGCAGCAACACACTGCTATCTGTGGAACCGAGGAGTCAAAGAAAAGCCCTCCGCAACATGGCGAACCTCTCCACGTCCCAGGCCTTGCAACGGTCAGCCTCGTGGGAAGCAGCTGCGGAGCAGTAGCTCGCGCAGAGCCTAACCAGAATCTGCATCAGCAGATACAGCAAGACCTGCATCTGGATTCTCCATTGCAAAGCCAGTTGAGCGCCTTAAAGCCCTCCTCGCCGCAGGAACTATTGTTCAGGGCGTTGATTTCTCCTGGCGTTGAGGTTCATGCCGGTAGGCCTGAAGGCCGTTTCTCCCCCTTCAGCTGTTCTCTTGCGAAAACAACACCTCTACAAGAGGACCACCTGCAACAGGAAGCACCGCACCAGCCGCAACAAGAACCCCACCTCTCTGTTCCTTGCAGGCAGGAGCATCAACAACAGCAAAACGAAAGCCAGCTCGCAGTCCGCAATTCTCAGATGCGGCGAATGCATACGCTCAACGCACCGTGATATATATGGAGGAGGGAGGGGACAAACACAGGCTTCAGCAGTAGCAGCTGCCTTAGCTGTACATTCCCTTGAAATCACAAAAGCAGCCTTATCACTATGTAGAGCAGTTTCAGAATAGCAGCTGTTGCAGAAGCGATTTCAGTGCTCTCCATCTGTACTTCCTTTTCCCAGCCGGGAATAGAACACTAACAGAATAGCCCAATGGCTGCCACTGACGATTTGTTTCAACTTCTAGGCTATGTGGCTCACGATCCTATGCTTTCTGCTGACGCTTCTTGTTAACCCCACATTAAAACATCCTTGATAAGCTGCAAAGAAGCTTCGCACAAAAGATTGGGGGAGTGCCTTATTCGCTGAAGAAGCACTTTCCTTTTCCGCAAAGTTTTAGAAAATCATCATTAGCTCCTAAGGGCAACGGCAAAATGAGAGGCAATCTAGGATTTGACAGATGCTGCTTTTATGGTATTGCTTGGCCGGGTGCCTGCGCACTTGAGCTCCTCTTGAGGGGGGACTGGTCATGCTCAAAGTTATCTTCAGCCACTCATTTTTTTCGTATCAAGAATTAGACTGCGTTTCATAGTTCCCCCCCGCGTTGCCTAAAATATCGCCACTACGTTCCGTAGGATAAGCGGTAAGCATAATCGCTAGGGGTCAGCAGCGCCACTGTTTTTTCTCCACCCGCAGTTCACCTGTTGAACATGCAAGGCATGCATACTGGTGCGGAGATCTAAGCTTACTCACATGTTTCCCTAAAAGTTGAAGCACCTACGCAATTGGATACAGCCACTGATCTCTGGCATATGAAAGTACAGCTCGTACCACATTGTTTCGGGCTTACTGCGAACAGCGGAGGCTGTTATGCTCACGTGTTCATGACATTTTTATCGTTAATATTCTTGTCCCTAAGTCCCAATGCCAGTGGCAATCCGTCGGTTTGGAGCCCCTCCGTCTTCTTGTTTGGCTTCAGTCGGTGGTTTGTAGCTGTTGGACACACTGGCAAGAAGTTCCTCGAACTACGCCGAGGACAAGTCTCCACATATTGTTCCACCGCCTAGGGATATCCCCTACTTAGAAGCTGACAAACAAGAGGCATAATGTATGGCTGGAAAAGTACAAAGCCATATCAGGTACCTCTGTGTAGACGCACCACACAGAAATGAATACACTGTTGCAAGTGCACACCTGGCTAAGACCTGAATGTACAACAGCACGAATCCAGGCCTGTGCTATTCTGGATAAGCCACTGCATATATATTTGAAACTCTCACGATATTAATAAGCTACAATACAATGGAAAGTACCAGGGAGGGACGAGCTAATTCTAAAGGCAGCCTCTCTCCGAACGTCTTCAGCACCATTAACAGCTGGCTGAACCTGCCGTAACATCGGCAACCAACAGCATTGCTACAGACTGACTTAGGTTACAGCGCTTCTATGCGAAGGCTTCAGCGAAAGAATCAGCGAGAAAATGACACAGGAACAGAGGACGGCACACGAATACCCTTATGTGCCGGGCTAAGCTACACCTGAGCCTTTTCTACTGCACTTGTGTTTTTAATGAAGTAGCAAATGATTGACGAATCGACTTGTTTGTCAGCCGTTGCAGAGTAACGTTTCATCGATGCAACAAGACGCTACGCTGTACATGCACTAGACGCTATGCGCAATCAGCTGCGGAGTGTCCCACTCCCCTCAAATCAGGACGAGCGGATGCGGAAAGGCGAAAACTTCATTAAAAGCATTTTCAATTGCTTGTCAAGTTTGTACTGAGTATGAGGTTAAGCGTCTACCTGCATGATGGAGAACTACGCCTTCTGCCTTTGTTGCAAAGGCACTTGAAGACCTCCAGTGTTGGTGGTTAAGCTAGGCTGTCTGGTTACACCAAGCAGCAAAAACAGGTGGATAGACTCTCGCCGTTTCTCTCCCTCTGCCTGAGACAACAGTCACAGAAGGTAAACACGCAGAGGCCGGTAGAGCTACTGAAAAAGACTTGCCCTTGCCACCGCTCCTGTAGTTGTAGTCGCAGCTATTTCTGCGCGCATGTAAGAGCACTAGAAGCTTTTCCTACAGCATCCGGGCCCACATCTGCGTAGGCAGTGGCTCCCGGTAATCAGAAATCACAGACAAGGTCATACAGCGAAACCAACGACAACAACAGTAGCGGCAGTCACTTGAAAGGCACATTGCCATCTGAAGCTTTTACAGAACTCGCTGATGTGCCTCACCCCAAGGCCCGAAAAAAAGCATCTAATCTGCACCTCTCCGCCATGACGAACAACATGTCTCTTGGCTATCTCAGCAACGGAAAGGCAGCGATTTGCTGCTACTCCCTTAGCCACCAGACAAAAAGTTCCCTCCTGTGGCAGTAGCAACAACATGCAGAGTGCCAGACGCCGGAGTCTCTGGTGGTCGCTGGAATAAAAGTAGGTATACTCATCAAGAGTGCTTCTGCTTGTTGTACACTTGCCACTGCCGCTAATGCTTCTAAAGCTCCCCTGTCGTCACTCAATGGTGGCGGCGAGAAACACTGGCAATAATACTACAAGCATCAGCTGTTGTGTTGGTCCAGGCACTCTTGCCGTTCGATTGCAGCAACTGAAGCCAAGCAAAACTGCAGGCGAGGCTAGCAGCGCTGGTGATGCATGGAAAAATGTAAATACACAGCAGCAATGGACGATGCCTTGTTAAGCTCTGAAGCACCTCACCTTTTGGAGAGCCTGCAAAGTTTTGTCTGCTGCTTTCCGCAAGCGGCCGCCAGACCCCCGATGTATCCACAAGAAACCACACGGCAGAGACTGAAGCACTGCCTCTAGAGAATCATCTGTACCGCTTCCGCTGCTGCTGACACTGTGGGTGCAACAAGGGGCATCCGAAGGACCATCAAGGGAAGCGCTCTGAAACTCCATTGGGGGCCCTGGCTGTGCTACCGAGAGGTGAAGGACGTTCAATCTTCCTTCATTGAAAGCTTCGCATCTGCAGAAGCATCCACTGAGAAGCGGCGGAAGAGGCCGTATTTTCGAATGGATACAAACGGTGCAGTGAGTGCAGTCCCTCACGGGGTCACAGGGGCTGCTTAGTCTTCAGCAACAACCTCTGAGTGGGAAGAAAGCGTTCTGCTCATGATGAAATTACTGGTAGTGATCCCCTCAATTCAAAATAGCGTCCCCTTCCACTGTTTCGTTGGCTAAGTTCGGAGTTTCACGCACGTTACCCGCAGTGGGTTTGAACAAAAGCAGCTTCTCTGGCAACGGCAAGGGATGCGGTAGAGAAAAAGCGAGAAAAGCTCTGTAAGCCGAAGTCCAACAACTGTTCCTCATGCCATGTTTAGGTAAGTAACGGGCAGCACAAAGGGCAGCGCCAGTTGGCGGGAAGCTCCCTCAATAGCCTTTTATGGCCAGGCTGTGCGCTGGCAGGCAGGTAGGGGGGCCCCGGTGGTTCTTCCGCCTTTGACATGGGCAACAAGAAGTTTTAGTCCTCAGAATCGGCAGCTTTCTGCTCGACTTTCTGAATAACAATAGCGCTAAATACGAGTTGGTGCCGCCGTTATTGCTGCTGCTGCCCACGCGAGGCAAGGCCCTCGGGCCCCCCCTTCCCCCCATCCCCTGCTCCGAGGCCAATTTTCGAGTCTCACGAGAATATAAATCAGACAGCATTCTGTGCTCCTGTCGAGACACTCGCCGAAAGGTCTCTCTCTACGGCTGAGGTGTAACGTGAGATTCGAGCTGAAGGCCTAACGCCGGATCCGTTGGATCTGCAGCTGCAGCTATTTTTTTGCAGTAGCAACAGTACCAAATGCGAGCTGTTGACGAAGGAGCAGCCACTAGGGCAGCGACTGGAATTTTGGCTGCAGCAAAAGGAACCGCGTAGTCTTGCAGGACGAAGGCCCATGGTGTTCATGGGGTGACCCCCCTTGCTCGCCGAGTGCTGAATGGAGCTTGGAGCATCTACTCTCCCTCACTGCGAGTTAGCTGCAGGATTCTGGCGAGAAAGCTCTTGGCCGGATCCGCGAGGATGGGGCCCCAGGGGGCCCCTGCATTCCTGTGGCGTCCGTTACCCTCGTTAGTGCTGTGCCTGCTCCTTTTGCAAAATGTGCAGCTGAGCTGCTGCGCTCTTGCTTCGTGGAGTGGCTTTTCCTGCCGCGAACTTCGAAGGCCGCACGGGATGCAGAGGCCTCACAAGGACCACCAGTCTCTTCCCGTTGCGGAGGCAGCACGGCAGACTTTCGCCGCTTGGGGCTTTTTCATCTTGCATCGCTCCTCTCTGCTGCCGCAGCAGCAGCCGCAAAAGCTGCCGCTGCTGCGAAGTCAAGAGGCAGGAGGAGCAGCCTTTGTCGCTCCGCGAGCTCTTCCTGCTGCCTCGTCCGTAGCGAGCGGACGTTCAACTTCGGCTACATGCGATGGTGTATTTGCAGGTGCTGCACCAGCGCCTGCAAATGCAGTAGCGACAGCTGCCGGCACTGAATCCCTCAGGCAAGCGGCTGCAACAGTGTCTCCACTGGCTTTACGCATGCCCTCTTCGGTGCAAATCAAAACTTCTTGGAGGCGGCTACACCTAGGCAATCGCTTCCCTGTTCTACACAGGGCCACAGCACCATCATCACTATGGGCGACTGGAGAGGGAACGGCAGCTGAATCAGTTTCAAGTGCTGCGTTCGTCAAACCGGAGGAGCGCCGCACTTACGGAACCAGGCAGTACCGTCTGGTCCTGCTGATGAGTGGCGAGCTAAGTGTGGTGCAGACGCAACGGCTCGTGAGAACTTACTACCAGCAGCTCCGCAGACTCAAAGGCAAGCAAGCTCACCCATGCAATGATCAATGAGAGTCACACACACTACACAATGGCTCTCTCTCTTGCCACGCTAACGACTCTCTTTGTACCTTTTAGAACACACATCAATGCGCATGAGTTCCGCGCTCGTTCTTTCTCTGTGCCAGCCTTGTTGGGAAGCTGAACAGCAGTATAGTTCTTTCCGCTTATGCGCAGCTGGAGCATTGCGGGTGTTTTACCGAGGTCTACGTGGGCTGGGAAGTGCAATAGGAAAACAGGATAGCGCGCACTTTGTGGAGATCTTGTTCGACGCCTTTCCCTCTGCCTTGCACTCCATTAGACTGCTACTGCAGCAGGATACTAACGTCCTTAGGTAGGCTGTGTTTGACGTGCCCAATGAATTATCTTGAATACCGCCTAAGCCATCCCCTGCTCACAAAGGGGCCTAATATGCCAGCTAAAATACTAAAGCCCATGCTGCAGGTGCCTCAATTGCAGCATCCACGATGAGTAGATAGCATGCTGGACTGTACATGTTCGGTGTTCAGGTTTATGATTCTGAATTTGGAGAAACAGGGGGTGGCCCTTTGAAAGGGAGAACTCGGGAGTTGAGTTACGTACAGATTTAATCCCCTAAGATTATACCCCAAGGTTGGTTGCTGCCAGTTTTCCCCCTATCAAACTGGAGACTTTACGGCAGCCGAATAGCCACCCTGTTTTTCGGAGTTTTGACGGGTGTCGCCGACATTTTAATGGCATCCTTTTTTAAAGGCAGATGGCCTCCGAGGCAAATGGTTCAAAATGCAAAGATGCCATCAAACAGGAAACGAACTTGATTATTTTCATGTACCGTTAAGATGGCAAGGAGCACTGTCCTATGCCTCTCCTCCCATGGAATCTCTTTCCTGTGATCCTTGCATGTTGCTGGCCGAGAGGCTAGAGTGAGCAAATGGGGCTTACTGGCAAAGTGAGTCGCTGCTGCTGCTCCACTACTTCCAGCACGGTAGAGGCTGGGCTGCCCTTCCGCAACAATTCACGGGGAGACGCGTGGGGAAGGGGGTTGTCTGACGGGGGGAAATGGCTGTCCGAAGGTACAGTTGTTTTGTACGACCGGCCATAGCGCGTAAGAAAGGGGAGTCTGAGGGCACAAGTTGCGACTTGAATGAGATTGTAATGATGTGTGGAAGGGGGACAACAAAGCTTGCCTTGTTAGGTACTCTATGGGAACGGAGCTTATGCTGCCACTGCCATCTGGACGAGAAGCCACTGCTTTCTGCGTAGTTTATGGCTTGGAGTTTGGGGTTGCAGAAGGAAACGCAAATAAACGCCTACCGAGGCTTCGGCAAGGCTCTGCCACTTGCTTTCAAGATCCTGGCGCTCAGTTCGAATCTGCGCAGCAACAAAAAATGGACATTGAACACAGTATTCCCGTCACGAACAAACAAAAACTTCATAGCTTTGAGATGATATGACCCCTTCGCAATTTTCGTAGGGCGCTGATGCGAAGCCTCACTGTTGAGAGCTTTTGATCCATTTCGTCGATATCTGATGATTTTCAGGAAACAGGCAAAGGGAACTCTCGGTGATGCCTTGGTAACTGAGCCGATGGGAGCAGTATAAGTACCTTCTTCGATGGAATCTGCAGACGCGATAGCAACTACAAATGCATCGATGCAATAAATTGGTGTTTTCAGCTGCTTGCCTTCAAATGAACGATAAAACTGGGATGGCAGAGTCCCGGGTGTATTCGCCTTGTCGAGGTGGATGGTGCTTAAGAGGACTCATGCACAGGCTACATTGCAGAATAAGTGATAAAAACCGTACATCATTGGACTCTGCGTTGTCCTGGCATCTTCAGCGTTTTCAGTAACATATGGCGTTCTGCCAACAAGGGCTGTAAGAAGGTTTTGCAATATGGCGGGAGCAACGTGCTCCTTCATTCCCCAAGCAACATAAGGACATATAGCTGAGTACGATAATGAAAGCAGCAGAATTCTTGGAAGGTTGGTCATTTTGCTTTTCTATCTGTAGTACGCCTTGGCGCGTTGCCCAGGATGAGCAAAGCAGTGCCTTGCAAGGTATCTACACCAGCAACGTTGTATCTGTATCAACAACTTGCTTGTTTTAAGCCTTTCAGCTCCAGATATAAAGTGGTAGCTACCTATTTCGCGTAATTTTTAATAATTTGGTTCCCTCCGGAGGCCTTCGAGTCTCTGCTGGCACAGCTCTAAAGGAGTGCAGCTGAAATGGACATGCCCGATAAAAAGCCTATCAATGAAATGGGAAGGTACATTACAAGTAGAAATGAAAAATATGTTATTTCCTTCACAGCATCTACAGTTAGAGGGGCCACGCGTAAATCGGTGCATTGCATAAGAAATGAGCTGCTTCATTCTTGCCGGATTTCAACACACGCCGCTTTCCTTATCACTGTAACTATTCACAAATGAACATATTTGTTTCACTTTGCGCTTTGTGAAATGTCTGAAGCAAGGTCCCTCGTTAATTTTCAGGTTTCGTTTTAGTTGCAAATCCACTGGTTACATCGGCTAAGCATGACTGCATCGCATGTCAGTTCTGGAGAATTATTTTCACAAGTTTGCTGGAATTACTCTTAAATCACCATCTCAGCTCGTTTGATTTTTTTTCTCTACAAGCGTGCGAACTGGCACATACAACAGGTTCGAATGCTTCAAGTATCGGGCCCTTTTCCTACAGGCGGTAGCGCTCCTCTTCCGTTGTCCATGAGAAAACTTCCAACTCTTAGCCT